TACTCTCGTTCCTACTCAATTGCTGGTATTTGTTTCATTTATATACAAGCTATAATTTCTGAACTTATTGTTACTATTTTCATGTTTTTTTTTTCTGGTCATGGTGATTGAATCTGGGGCTAATGCATGCTAGGCAAGTGTCCTACTGATAAACCTCATCCCCAGCCCACTCTCATTATCTTTAAAACACTGTTATCTTTTATCAATTAAGAAAAAATAGTTTACTTTTATTTTCTCTCTATTGCTCTTCCTTTATGTATATCAGAGTTTCTGAGTTGTACAATTTTCCTTCCTCTGAAGAACTTTCAACATTTTCTCTTAAGTCTAGTGGTGAAAAATTCCCTTGATTTCTACCTAAGAAAGCATCTTTCTACACTTTCCAAAGACAATTTCACTGGATAGAGATTTCTAGGTTGATGGTTGTTATGTGTCTCCCATGATATATATGTTGAAAAGCTCACCCCCAATGTGATGGTGTTAGGAGGTGGGGCCTCTGGAAGATAATTGTAATTAGGTCATGAGGATGGAATCCTCATAAATTAGTGCTGTTATAAAAAAAGTCATGATGGCCACAAGATGGCCACTGCCTGCACCCTTGCCAGACACTGAATCTCTTAGCATCTTGATCTTAGAACTCCCACCTTGGAACTGTGAGAGATAAGTTCCTGCTATTTAAGCAATTCACTCCATGGTGTTTTGTTACAGAAGCCTGAACTAAGGAGTTATTCTTTAACACTATAAATATTTCACTTGCTTTCTTGCTTACACAGATTCTGAAGAAAACTCTAAAGTAATTATCATCTTTCTCATCTATATATGATAGGTGTTATTTTTTCCTCTGTCTTCTTTCAAGATTTTACTAGGTCTTTGATTTTCTTGAGTTTGAGTATAACATGTAGAATTTTTGGCATTTGGGTTCTGTAAGTTTTCTGGATCCATGGTTTGTTGTCATTATTTATGGAAAATTCATTCATTCTACTACTGTTTTTTTTTTAAATTTCTACATCTCTTTTTATTTTTTAGAGTTTACATCTCTCTTCTTATATTACCCATCTGTTCTTGCATGCTATCTATGAATCCAATTAGAACTCTCAGCCTATTAATTATATCTGTTTAAAATTCCTGGGGGTATCTGAGGTTTATAGTGATTAAATTTAATCTTAAAGAAGTAGAGGTTTTCCAGTAAACTACTAGGGTGAAGAGTATACCAAGCAGAGAAAATGAAAAGCCTTTAAGAAAGAGAGTGGCATACTCAGAAAACTGAAAGTTAAAGGGCAGAGTGGAAAAGTGAACCTACATATTCTCCTAGGGAGAGCATCATATCAAGTATTTGTATAAAATAATAAGATTATTAGAAGAACAATTATGGGTGAGGACCACGGTAAAATTGTTAAGGAAATATCCGTATACTTCTATGTTCTGAGGAACTGGTTTATTATTGTATTATTCACAAAGGTACTCAACTCCATAATTTATAATCTTAAACCCTGAAGACAATTGAAGGTTCAAGTGATAGATATTTCACTGAATAAAAAAATAAATCAAGATTTTCCCATAGCTTACTTACCACCCACCCCATCTTTGAGAATAAGAGCAAAATTGAATTTTGAGAGCTCTTACTCATCCTGATGTCAGCTACAATAAATGCTATGGTTCAGAACATTATCCTCACTTTACCAAGCTGGAGCACTTACCTTGCAGAAGGCATCTTGGAGGAGCAGACCTCTGCTCTTACCCCAGTCAGTAAGAATAAGAATTTTGGGGTGAAAAGTAGGGGCCCCTGGGGGATAGAATACTTACCCCCAAAGCACAATCTATTTTATCTTTTTTTTAATTTTTTTTTTTTTTAGAGAGAGAGAGAATTTTTAAAAAATATTTATTTTTCAGTTTTCGGCGGACACAACATCTTTGTTTGGATGTGGTGCTGAGGATCGAACCTGGGCCGCACGCATGCCAGGCAAGCGCGCTACTGCTTGAGCCACATCCCCAGCCCCAACAATCTATTTTATCCAGAAGATAACTGGATCGGTCGTCGAAGAAATCTCAAGAAATCTATTGTCAAGACTCTTTTAAAACACAATATTTACTTTAAATATTATAACAGACTCTTAAAATCTTCTTCAGCTACTGGAAATATTGTTGAGAACAGATCACCAACTTTGGATCTTCCTGGTTATACTCAACCCTAATTAGGCTTGTGGCCTTCACCTTTCATGTACCTAATTTATTTAACTTTCATTCCATTTAGTCTCATCCTGTACGGGATGCCATTGTTGACCCAGGACTAATCGACTCTTTTCTCATTTGCTACATCCATCCTGACTTACCTGCTTGATCTGTTTCTCTGCATTGTCTTAAAGGAATCTCTCCCAGTGCTTGCTGCCTTATGCATAACAGAATGTGAGGTGCTGAATTTGTTCCACAGTGTCCATATGAATAAATAGCTAGAGATGTACAGCTCTAGAATGGATGTACTCATCAGTTATAAGAAAAATTGTGCTTTTAATATTTTACATCTTTGCTTAACTTTGATAAGTAAAATGTCTTTTAAACTATAATATATACATTTCAGTGCCATTTTGTGCCACTCTATCACCTTGTAATACCTGGTATTTTCTTTATGACATAGCAACATATAATATATGCACTTATCTGTAATCATTTTAAGTCATGTATGTCTTATGTGGACAATTATATGATATTCTTCTGGTGGGGAGAAATGTCTTTTATGTCATCAGTGATTCCAAGTATACCAATCACATAACAGAAATAAATTCAGATGGAAATGAGGACAACCACTCCATTCACAATATCTTCAAAAAAAAATAAAATACTTGGGAATCAACCTAACAAAAGAGGTAAAAGACTTATACAATGAAAACTACAGAACCCTAAAGAGAGAAATAGAAGAAGATCTTAGAAGATGGAAAAATATACCCTGTTCATGGATAGGCAGAACTAACATCATCAAAATGGCGATATTACCAAAAGTTCTCTATAGGTTTAATGCAATGCCAATCAAAATCCCAACGGCATTTCTTGTAGAAATAGAGAAAGCAATCATGAAATTCATATGGAAAAATAAAAGACCCAGAATAGCAAAAACAATGCTAAGCAGGAAGTGTGAATCAGGCGGTATAGCGATACCAGACTTCAAACTATACTACAGAGCAATAGTAACAAAAACAGCATGGTACTGGTACCAAAACAGGCGGGTGGACCAATGGTACAGAATAGAGGACACAGAAACCAATCCACAAAACTACAACCATCTTATATTTGATAAAGGGGCTAAAAGCATGCAATGGAGGAAGCATAGCATCTTCAACAAATGGTGCTGGGAAAACTGGAAATCCATATGCAACAAAATGAAACTGAATCCCTTTCTCTCGCCATGCACAAAAGTGAATTCAAAATGGATCAAGGAGCTTGATATCAAATCAGAGACACGCCGTCTGATAGAAGAAAAAGTTGGCTACGATCTACATACTGTGGGGTCGGGCTCCAAATTCCTCAATAGGACACCCATAGCACAAAAGTTAATAACTAGAATCAACAAATGGGACTTACTCAAACTAAAAAGTTTTTTCTCAGCAAAAGAAACAATAAGAGAGGTAAATAGGGAGCCTACACCCTGGGAACAAATCTTTACTCCTCACACTTCAGATAGAGCCCTAATATCCAGAGTATACAAAGAACTCAAAAAATTAGACAATAAGAGAACAAACAACCCAATCAACAAATGGGCCAAGGACCTGAACAGACACTTCTCAGAGGAGGACATACAGTCAATCAACAAGTACATGAAAAAATGCTCACCATCTCTAGCTGTCAGAGAAATGCAAATCAAAACCACCCTAAGATACCATCTCACTCCAGTAAGATTGGCAGCCATTATGAAGTCAAACAACAACAAGTGCTGGCGAGGATATGGGGAAAAGGGTACACTTGTACATTGCTGGTGGGACTACAGATTGGTGCAGCCAATTTGGAAAGCAGTATGGAGATTTCTTGGAAAGCTGGGAATGGAGCCACCATTTGACCCAGCTATTCCCCTTCTTGGTCTATTCCCTAAAGACCTAAAAGGAGCATGCTACAGGGACACTGCTACATCGATGTTCATAGCAGCACAATTCACAATAGCAAGACTGTGGAACCAACCTAGATGCCCTTCAATAGACGAATGGATAAAAAAAAATGTGGCATTTATACACAATGGAGTATTACTCTGCATTAAAAAATGACAAAATCATAGAATTTGCAGGGAAATGGATGGCATTAATGCAGATTATGCTAAGTGAAGCTAGCCAATCCCTAAAAAACAAATGCCAAATGTCTTCTTTGATATAAGGAGAGTAACTAAGAACAGAGTAGGGACAAAGAGCAGGAGAAGAAGATTAACATTTAACAGGGATGAGAGGTGGGAGGGAAAGGGGGAGAGAAGGGAAATTGCATGGAAATGGAAGGAGACCCTCAGGGTTATACAGTGGAGGGGGTAGAGAGAGAGGAGGGGAGGGGAGGGGAGAGGTGGGGAGGGGGGAGGGTGGAGGATGGGAAAGGCAGCGGAGCACAACAGACACTAGTATGGCAATATGTAAATCAATGGATGTGTAACTGATGTGATTCTGCCATCTGTGTATGGGGTGAAGGTGGGAGTTCATAACCCACTTGAATCAAAGTGTGGAATATGATATGTCAAGAAATTTGTAATGTTTTGAACAACCAACAATAAAAAATTAAAAAAAAAAATAAATTCAGGAAATGATGTTGACTGGTTCATTAAAGTGCCTAATAGGGAGGTTAAAATTAGTGATAGCACATGTCATTTCTCCCTTGAATTCTTAGTTATTTGGTGCTGTATGCATAAGTAATTCTGGAAGAAATCAAAAGTTCAGAATTTTGTTTTTTCATGCTGACAAAAATTAAATATAAATATCTTTAGTGTTTTTAAATTTTCTATATTTTCTCTAGATTTTTTTAAATATCTGGTAGATGTTTCCATTAAATAATATGGGATATCTTGAATTTGTAGTTTAGCATCTGCATATGCCTGTAAAGAGGGAGGTATAGTGAAGGAAGGCTTGTCTTGTTTTCTTTTTACTATGTCAGCAATGTCATCTTTCATCCAGTTTTCAGAGCAAGAAAACAGCGAGATTAATTGTCCCTTTGGAACCTCAGGTGGAAGGTGAGTTGTCTGTCATTCTGATGTGGTTGCTCCTTCTTGGTTTTGGGGAGATGAGGAACTATCTGCTTAGAGCTCTGCAGTTTGGACTCTTCATCTTGAAGACTCTTATCTTTTATGTTTGCAACCACTTCAAAGCTTGAGGGAGCAGTCTCCAATTTGCTGCTTAGAAGGTTCATGTCTTCAGTCTTTGTGGCCCAGAGAACATGTTTTTTCCTCTTCTTGGTGCCTTTGAGAGGTGTCAAACTTTCAAGTGACCTTTGGGGCACAGACTGGAACCATTCTGAGGCATCTGTCCTAAGATTCCTTTGAGTTACAAAAGGAGGGTTTCTGGGTGGTGTCCAAGATGAGTTGTATTTCTTTATATTTATGCAAGTAGCTGGCTTTGGTCTAGAAAAGAAATTAAATATGTGAATTTTTGCTGGACATGTACCCACTTTATAGACTACAAAATCAAGGTAGAGATCCTCATATTTAGAGGGAAATTTTTTTTCGAGAGAGGGAGATCTTGTAAATTATTCATGGTAGCCATGTCATTTCTCTCAGGTTTTCTAACCACAAACTTTTAACTGCATTTTACTTAAACTTTCTAATTTGTTTTGGTAGTGCCGGGGATTGAACCCAGGGCCTTATACATGGTAGGTAAGCACTCTACCACTGAGCTATAATCTCAGCTCCTAAACTTTTTAATTTTGAGTAATTGTATACTAATATGCATTTGGGAGAAATAATAAAGATTCCACGTACTCTTCACCCAGTTTCCTCTAAACGTAACATTTTGCAAAACCATAGTACAATACCATAGCCTGGGTATTGACATTGTTGTGGTCAAGATACAAAACTGTGGCCTCACATTGCTGTGTTTAGTGCTGACTTCCCTCCTTGCCCATCCCCTCCTTAACTCCTGGCAGCCGTTAATCTATCATCCCAATTATCTAGTCTTATTTCAAGAATGTTATATAAATGGAATCACAATGTATGCAACCTTCTGGAATTAGCTTTAGTTTGTGTAGTTCTCTTTGGTTATCCATCCAGGTTACCCTGCACATCATTAGTTTATTCCTTGTTACTACTGAGTAGTTGTCCATGGCACAGATGCACTACAGCTTAATGATTCATCATTGAAGAACATGTGGATTATTTCCAATTTATGGCTGTTACAAATAAAGCTGCATAAACATTTGTGTACAGGTTTTTGTGTGAATTTAAGTCTTTGTTTCACTGGGGTTAATTTCCAGGAGAGTAATTGCTGGGTAAAATGGTAGTTATATATTTAATTTTTAAAGAAACTGCCAAACTGTTTTCCAGAGTGGTTGCCCATTTTATGTTCCCACCAGCAATATATGAGTAATCCAATTTCTCTGCATTTGGTATGGTGCTTTTTGGGGGGGCAGGAGCAGGGGTGCTGGGGAGTGAACCCATACAGGGCCTCGGCCTCATACATGTTAGGCAAGCGCTGTGACACTGAGCATTCCCTGCCCTGTTGTTTTTGTTTATTTCAAAGATGTGCAGTGCTAGCTCATTATGTATTTAATTTGCATTTTTAATGGCTAGTTGAACATCTTTTCATGTGGTTACGTGTCACCTGTATATTTTGTATGGTGAAATGTCTATTCATGTCTTTTTCCTTTTTCTAAATGAAAAGTTTATTTTAATACTTAGAAAATGCTTTAATTTTGAAATTTTGAAAATTCTTTAATCCAGAGAGAAGTATTTTGATCACATGGTTTGCCATATCTTTATAGCCTGTCTTTTTATACTTTCAACATGGTCTTTTACAGAACATTTTATTTTGATAAAGCCCAATTTACTGATATTTCATTTTATGAATCATGTTTTTGGTGTCAAGTCTAAGAACTCTGCTCAACCTTAGTTCCTGAAGATTTTCTATTTTTTTCCTAAAAGTTTTGTAGTCCTATGTTGTACACTTAAGGTCATAATCTATTTTGAATTAATCTTTGTATACACTATGAACTTAAGTTTCACTTTTTGACCTACTGAAGTCCAATTATCTCAATATTGTTTTTTGAAAAGACCTTCTGCCTCCGTTGAATTGTTTTTTCTTTCTTTTTTTTTTTTTTTGGTACCAGGGATTGAACCCAGGGGCACTTAATCACTGAGTCACATTCCCATCCCTTTTTATATTTTATTTAGAAAGAGGGTCTTGCTGAGTTGCTTCAGGGCCTTGCTTTTGCTGAGGCTGGCTTTGAACTTGTGATCCTTCTGTCTCAGCCTTCTGACTTTGGCATTTTTATAAAATCGGTTATAGGCTTATTTCTAGGTTCTCTACCCTGTTCTATTGATGTATATATCTATTCATCCTCCAATAGTACATTGTATTACTGTAGCTATATAAAAGATCTTGAAATCAGACTGATTCCTCCCACTTACCCTTTGTCAAAATCGTTTTTGCTATTTTAATGTCTTTGTGAAAAAGTCATGTTGGGATTTTGAAAAGAATTGTGTAAAACATGGATATCAATGTGGGAAGAGCTGACATCTTTACTCATCGAGACTTTCAATCCAGGAACATGCTGTTTTTTTTTCCCCATTCTCTTAGATCTTTGATTTCTCCTATTCATGTTGTGTAGTTTTCAACATACAAGTCTTACACTTATTTAGTAAATTTTCAACTATGTATTTCATTTTTATGAGATATTGAAAATTGTATAATATTTGTAATTTTGATGTACACAAGTTCATTTCTTACATATAGAAATATATGTTTTGTATGTTTATCTTATATTCTGAAGTCTAGAAGAACTTGCTTTTTATTAGTTCCAGGAGTTTTGTTTTGCAATAGACTTCTTGAGACTTGTTTTTAGAGAATAACATAATTAAAAAGGGACCATGTTCTTCCTTTTATTTTGATCTGTATGCTTTGTTTCTTTTACAATGGATAGAACATCTAGTACATTGTTGGATAAGAATGGTGAAAATGGACTATGACAAGTTCTCTATTCCTATTTTTTTCCTGAGAATTTTTATCTTTTTTTTTGTCATTTTGTCAATTTTTTTCTGTGCCAATTAACATGATCATGTGGGTTTTGATCGTCAGCCTGCTAATATGGAAGATTACCTTGATTGTGTGTGTGTGTGTGTGTGTGTGTGTGTGGTTGGTACTGAGGCCCTTGCGTCTGCTAGGCAAGCATTTCACTACTGAGCTATATCCCCAGCCCTTTTAATTTTATTTTGAGACATGATCTTGCTTAGTTTCCCAGGCTGGCCTTGAACTTGCAATCACTTTATCTCAGCTTCCTGAGTCATTGGCATTACAGATGTGTACTTGATTTTTAAAAATATTGAACCATCCTTGAATTCCTGAAGTGGATCACACTACCAAGGTATGTATAATTCTTTTTTAAATTTAACACTGTATTCTATTTACTGATTTTTTTGTTAAATATTTTCTAATATACATCTATGAGTGACCTCATTCAATATCTTTCTTTATTTTTACTGTCTTTGGTTTTGGTATCAGGCCATTGGGTAGCTTCATGAAATGAACAGAGACTTACTTTTCTATTTTCTGGAAAAAATTTTTGTAAAATTGGTATTAATTCTTCTTTAAGTACTTGATGAAATTTTCTTGTGAAACCATATGGGCCAGGAGATTCTTTGTTTTAGGAGTTTAAAATTATGAATTCAATTTCTGTAATAGTTAAAAGGCATTCAAATATTCTATTCCATATTGAGTGAGTTGTGAGGTGGGGGAGAGAGGAAGGGAGGGAAAGAGTGTATTAAGGAGTTGATCTATTTTCTGTAAATTGTTAAATTTGTATCTGTATTGTTTTCAACTATCTTTTGATCTTTAGTGATATCCCTTGTTTCATTCTTACTTAGTAATTTGTTTTTTCCTTATTTGACAGTCTTGATAGAAGGTTGTTAATTTTACCTATCTTTTAAAGAACTAGTTATTTCACTGATATTCTGTCATTTTTCTGTTTTTGATTTTTGCTCTTATTTTTATTATTACCTTTCTTTTTATTTGATCTTTTTTTTTTTTAAAAAAAGTTCTTGAGGTGGGGAGCTTAGATTATTGATTTGAAATTTTTCTTCTATTTTGCATATGCATTTATTTCTATAAATTTACATTTCAGTACTGCTTTAGTTATATCCCACAAGTTTTGATATATTGAGGTTTCATTTTCATGCATTTCAATATATACTTTTATTCCTTTTGAGGCTGTCTTCATATCATGAATTATTCAGAAGTGTGTTGTTCATTTTTCAAATATTTGGGTGTCTTGTCTGTGTTCTGTTTGATATTGATTTCTAGTTTGATTCCATTGTGGTCACAGATTATACTTTGTATTGTTTAAATTATCTTCAATTTTTTGAAGTTTGTTTTATGACCAGTTTTGGTCTATCTTGGTATAATCTGTATGTACACTTGAAAAGAATGTGTATTATGCTGTTGTTGGGTGGAATGCTCTCTAATTACCAATTAAGTATTTTTTTTTGTTGAATTCCTTAATATCCTTATTTGCCATTTACTTGTTGAATAAATAGTGGATTTGCCTATGTCTCCTTCCAGTTTTTGCTTTACATATTTTGTAATCAGTTTTGTAGTTTTAAGCAAACACATTTAAGATTGCTGTGTGTTCTTAGTGAATTGTTACTCATTATATAATGTGCCTGTCTCTGATAATTTTCTTTCGAGATCTGCTTTATTGAATATAGTCACTCCTTTCATTTATTAATGTTTGCATGATATGTCTTTTTCCATCTTTTTAAAATTTTGTCTACATTGTCATACTTGAAATGAGTTTCAAGTGAACTCTGTATCATTGAGTAATGTTTTTAGATCTATTCTGCCCATCTATCTTTGCTGGTTTTATTTCAAGCATTGACATTGTTTCTGTGTGTTCACTGTTTTTTGTTTCTATCTTTTTTCTGCCTTACTATGGATGATGTGAACTGAGAATTCCACTTTGATTTATTTGTAGTGCTTTTGAGTGTATCACTTCAAATAGCTTTTTGAGAGACTGCTCTACACATTATATTACATATGCACAACATCAAAATCTAAAGGTGGTGTTGTGTTACTAGTTTGGACATGGAAACTACCTTCCTTTGTGTGTCTTTACCTTCTCACATTTATAATTGCCTTAATATTTCATTTACATACATTTAGAACAATATTACTGTTATAACTTTTACTTCAACAAACATAATTTAGAAAACCCATTATTCTGACCTGTATTTTTGCTTACCATATTTTTTTCCTGGTAGTCTTTCTTTTGTTGTTTTCTTTTTGTTTAGAGAAAACCTTTAGCCATTCTTTTAGAATATTAATTAATATTGGTCAAAGACTCTCTTAAGTTTTACTTCATGTGAACATCTCTTCACTTCATGTGAACACCTTTATTTTCACTGGGTATAGAATT